TTGCATTCTTAATTTTGCATATTGTCCCTTACATGCTCGCTATATTTTTTTTTTGGCTGATGTACATATGGTGTTCTTGATTCTTGGTGAGAGTTGTGGGAGCATTTAGTAAAGTAGAAGGTCATTTTAAGATGAATTTGTGATGGTGGAAAAAAGAGTGGGTTGATCAGAGATATAAGAGAGTTGAGCTTAAAGTTCTTGAAAGGTACCACAAATTTGTTATTCTCTCTAACTCTCACCTTGAATGTTAAATTTGGGTTAATATGGTTGGTTTTTAAAGAATGTGACATCTATAAAGTTGTACAATTTTGTGTTTCTGGAAAATAGCATTTACACCCTTTTTGTTTGAAGAATATCCCACAAAAATGCATTTGATTTACATGGGATCAAATTTTGTTTGATGTGGCTGACATAAATGAACAAAAGCGATGCAACCAAAAATTTTTTATAGTGGGTTAGAGGTGAAGGACTACATATGGGGTTAGAATTGTACGAGAATGTTGAGAGGTTTGTTAAAGTTTAACACTATGTTGGGCATCCTATATATGAGATAAATGGATGTGAGAATTGCATCTGACCATAAATGTTTGGGTACATTGTTAGTAAATAAAACTGAACGGAACACTTCAACAAAATGTTTATTCTTTCTCTCAGTCATACTTTTTTTTGTGTCAACACAATAGCTAATATGAATGATATCTCTTTTGAAAAAATGAGTGTCAAGAGTAAAGTTGTAGCAGTTTTTTGCATTATCATTTTTGAGAATTTGGATTTTGCTCTGAAACTATGTGAGGATCAAGTTGTGGAATGTTTCAAATATCTTAGCAGCTTCAGATTTTTCTTTCATGAGAAAGGTCCAAATGGTTCTAGAGAAATCATCAATGAATATGGTCAGTCATCTAGCCTCACTTGTATATTTTATTTTTGAGTGCCCCTCAAAATATCACTATGTACCATAGAGAAGGGGAATGTTGGTTTGTATTGCAGAATCGGGTACACTTATTGAGTATATTTAGCAAATTTGCAAATTCACACTGATAAGAACTACATTTTTTATTGATAAACAAATTTGGATAGAATTTTTCAATATAATAGAAGTTAGGATGCCCAAGACGAAAATGTCATAACATAACTTGACTCTCGTGAGAAATAAACTTCGAGACAAGACTTGACTAGAAGGATAGTGAATGATGAGACTGCCCTTTAGAAATGAGAGTCATAGTGAGCAGATAAAGTTTGTGATACATGTCAGCACTGTCAATCATATTCCCCAAGTTCATCACGTGAAATTCATGCAAACTATGGAAGAATTTCGTAACACAATTCATGCCATGAGTAAGTTTAATGATAAATAAGAAATTATAGTTAAGTTTAGGAACATAAAACACCATTTGAAAATAAGGTGATTTGTGAGTTTCAGGCTTCCTCTTCCTTCCATGGATGAAAGGGAATCATTTACGGTTCTAACTACAGCATGGTGCTTGCAAAATGGAATCATTGAAAAACAGTGATATCACATGTCACGTGGCAGATACTCCAAAGTCCACTATTCAAGACCAATTTTTCCTGTTAAGAGAAACAAAAGCTGATGGAATACTGCATTTATGTGCTAGAATGTCGGTAAATGGCTGAGAATATTATCCCAAATGCCTTTAGAGAGTTTCGAGTTGTTCCTTACTAAATTGACTATGTTTCTGAGGCTAGTCTTCCATTGATATTGTGCTTGCTTGCTTTTCCCCAACACCATTGACTTTTTTTGGCACCTAATCTGCAAATTTTTCATAAATTTTTCAACACTTCTCCTTCAGATGACCAAGCTTCTTGGAATGTTCACATCATCATCTTGTTCTCTTTCATTTGTTCTCTTGTGATGCTTTGTAAGTGTAGAAAGTTGAATTGTCAACATTTGATGTAGTGTAATTACTTACCATAATGAGTTTCTTCCTACTCTCTCCCCTTCATAGTTCAGCAAAAGCTTCACGAATTGATTGAAATATTGCGTAACACTCAACTCACTCTGCTGCAGTTTATGTAATCTAATTTCAACGTTAAAAAACTGAGAGTTATCAACACTTGAATAGGTTTCTCTTTTGACATCTAAGATTTGTTTTGTCATTTTTAACAAGGAAATTTTCTTTAATTTCTATGGTCATAGTTGACAAGCCTTGACACGACCTTATGATCTTCAATTTTTCATACTCGATATTTAAGATCAATAATTACTGGTGCGAGAGTTTATTGGTGTGATGATTATATTTTCTTTTACCATAGATGTACATCAAGATTGATTGAAACAACTAGAGAAAATTGTTGTCATGAAGTTTATGATTGGTGATGTTGGAATAGATTTCAGATGTTATAGAACCAGCATCCTAGATTCATATTCAAAACTAATTTCTTAACAGAAAGAAATAATAGCTTTCATGATGTATTTGCTCGTCATAATAAGGCATCGGTAGGAGCTTCATCGGGGATTTCAACTAGAGAGAAATTGTTTATCCTTAACATAGAATTTCAACTAGAGAGATAAAATGACTATTGCCTACACAAAAAATCTGCTCGAGAGGGAAATTGTTTGTCGCCAACACAAGATGTTCACAAAAGAGAGAAATTGTCTGTCATCGACACAAGATAACATCACAGATTTGGGATTTTCACTGGAAAGAGAGAGCAAAATCGCATATTTGAGAGAAAGAAAATTTGAATAGCAACAGGAAGACAACTGCAAATTTCATATGGAGGGTCTGCAGAGAGTGACGGTTGCAAGGAGAGATTATGGTGCAGAAAAAAACTTGTTACTAAGGAGGATGTCGAGGAGTACGAAGGCTTTTGCGATCATACAGGAGTGAGCGAAAACTTCTTATGAAGTCTCTATGATCACGTCTGTGGGGATATAGGGTCGTATTTTCAATTATAATGTCATGCATTGGATGAAAGAGGGGTATATAACAAAAAACAATAAATTGATGATTTAACGACAACAATGTTTCGTATACTCATGCATTGTGGATAAGAAATAAACGAAAGAAGCCGCTCTAAACAAATTTGGATAGAATTTTTCAATATAATAGAAGTTAAGATGCCCAAGACGAAAGTCATAACATAACTTGACTCTCATGAGAAACAAACTCCGAGACAAGACTTGACTAGAAGGATTGTGAATGATGGGACTGCCCTTTAGAAATGAGAGTCGAAGTGAGCAGATAAAGTTCGTCATACATGTCAGCACTGTCAATCACATTCCCCAAGTTCACGTGAAATTTATGCAAACTAGGGCGAACATACAGGAGTGAGCGGAAACTCCTTATGAAGGCTTTGTGATCCGGTCAGTGGGGAGATAGGGTCTAATTTTAAATCATAATGTCATGCATTGGATGAAAGAGGGGTATATAACAAAAAACAATAAATTGAAGATTTAACGACATCAATGTCTCATATAATCAAGCATTGTGAATAAGAAATAAACCAAAGAAGCCACTCTAAACAAATGTAATAGTGATTTCATGCAATGTACTATCATCAAAAAACCAGTTAGCATTATTGTCAAACTCATCATCGAATCCACTACTTACTTTAGATTGTTATGATACTCAAATGTCATGAACCTCTAATTTGAGAGGGATTCCTTCGATGATGAGTTTTTGAAATTATAACTCCCTCTTAAAGGATTTTCCAATTTATTTCTTTCCCGATTACTTACAAAACCAAATCTATAAGAGCTTTTTACCTATAAAACTGCATCAATTAATGTTTGAGTTATCATGTTGCATCACAAGTCTCTACTGATTAAATTTTCCATCACCATTTCTAAAATTAGAGATTGTGATGTTATTTCCACCATGCTATTAAAAGAAGCCCTTACTCTTGGAGGCAAAAATACCTTGTAAATAATAAGAAATTTTAGCCCATAAATTCACTTGTACTTATGTAAATTGTTAGAGTTTTGCCCCTCGTAAATTTGTAACGACCACCACACACAGTTTGAATATTAGTTCAATCCTTTCTAGCATAGGTTGGTTACCAGACACAAATGCATGTAATAACCACTGCCCTCACTTATCATTATGCATGATTCTTCCATGAAAACTTTTCTTAGATGAATGACTCCTCTTGATATCATATGTAGCTACTTCCTATGATTCAAAAGAATATTAAGGTTGCTTGATATCTCTCTCTTTACCTCCCACCCCATTCAATAGTTTTCCTTTCTCTCCCCTTCTCAATCTCAATATATTGGACATGTTTAAAATTATAATAGCATGTAATTCTTTTCCCAAATCGGACCAACAAGCGAGTAGGGCGAACCTCAAGAGGAAAGAGCAGCAAGCAAGAGTGCGAGATAATCAAGTGGGACTATCTTTAATATTTGCATACATAACACTCGAAACTTTAATATCGCATCAAAAATATGACAATTATCAGCTTTCTAAAAATGAAATATGCATTTTCACGCATAGGTCCATGAGACCAAAATGATAAGTGTAAATATAAAACTTTTGGTGCTAAATACATAAATGCATAAGAATCGTGTGGCATGTATGTAAATATCCCATTTTATTTTGATCATTAGGACTATGGGGCAAAATTTACCCTGACAGCATGGTGAGTTTAAAACTCATATACACTTCATAGCTACATCTGATATACTAGTTAATACGACATTAGAACATGCTTTCTAACTTGGCACAACCAAACGGGTCCTAAAGGCCATGGAAAGAATTAAAGTGAGAAAGGAAATAGAAGGCGTAGAGCAAAAACAATTAGGATATGAATGCGTGAATATCAGGCAGCAAAACGTTTAATAAATAGTAACAGATGAAATGGAAGGTAACAACGAAACCAGAACGGAAAATATTTCGAGAGCAATTAGATCATGTTCCCAATATTTTAACAACTTCGAACCATTTACTTTCCCACGCTAAAAGCTTAAACAGCTTTATTTCACCGATAAAACGCATATCTAAACTATCGGAAGCAAACAAACGCTAGATTCCGTTTACCTCTAGGATAATATGGCACGATCTAAACCTGGCAGCCCGTTGGGCAGCCTTTGTACCTATGAGAAGGAATCGCAGCAGTTCCTCAAGAAAAGCATCAGTGCCGTGATTGTTCTTGCCGTCACGACGGGCGGCGAAGGCCGCAACGAACCGCACGGCACGCTCTGATGACGGTGTCCGCCGGGAGAGATCAAAGAGGGGTCTGAGAGCCCGGACAAAAGAAGGAAAGAAGCAATCAGTGGGAGCAGAGGAGCGGATCGCGATGAGCTCCTTCAATTTCCGGGTATGGACGGCGTGGGAGAGCCCGCACTCGTCAAGGATTTCGGCGATCTGTCGGGCAAGACTATGATCTTCCACCATTTTATCCAGCGTTTCTGTAGGTTCTGAACGATCTTCGTCTACATTACAATTGCGCTCTCTTCTGATGTCACTGGTTGTATGTACATGCTCCATTTCGCATTCACTCTCTGTGTGGGCGGGAAAGGGTTTCGTCAAGTAGACGGCGCGTTTGAACTGCCTTCGTTCAGCTCCGTCAGTCTGTGCCATGTCACATAAGATTCGGAAAGTTATTATCTGCAGAGTTAAGGTGTATTTGAATTTTATATGGAATAATATTGTATAATATTACATATATCTTAAACAATAACTTATGCATCATGATTCTTTATATGACATTCTCTTCGTGTGTGGGTTCATGCTAAGGTGGTCTGCTTGATTTAGGATCGATTTGGTTCGGCGGTAGAAGCCTGGCGCGGGGAGTGGCCTCGAATCGCGACCATTTGGTTACGTGGGAGGAGAGCAGAGAGACATCATTTTGATGAAAAGAGGGCCGCGGATCGAACCCGGCGGCTCGCGTTCCAAGATAAAATATTACACGCATATACCCCTCCCCGTTTGACACCCTACCCTAATTCCCTTCCTCAATGTTGGATGTGTGAAATTCACTCTTCTACTGTTCGAATAATCCATCCTCGTTTGACATCCAGAGCCCTCTGCTCTTCTATTTTTTTGGCGCCCGAAACTCTCGTCCCTCTACTATTTGACATCTTCCCTTCTATTTGAAGCCTTCCCCTTTGTCTGACGCTCCTCCATTGTTCAAAGCCTTCCCCAAATTTGGTGGTGTGTGGTGACTATAGTTGTGCATTCGGTAGTGTGTGGTGGGTGTTGCTTGTGGTGGCTACAGTCGTGGATTTGGTGGTGTGCATCCAAAATTGTGTATTGTTCTAGCGCCTAAGCTTCATTTTCTCGTCATCACTAGCGCTTAGGCGCCAGTTTGGGCACTTAGGCGACACCCTGTGCGTATCTTGTTCGCCTTATTTCAACTCCATTACATTTCAGATTTGTATACATATAAAATAAACATTAAAATAACATTTCTTTAAAGTGTAATTTCATTTAAAAGTATGTGATAAATGTAAAGGAAATTGAGCATAGAAAGACATATCGAAATGTGTCAGGTCAGAATTTTCATTTTTGCTCGTTTTGACACTAAATTGCAACATTTTTTTTCTCCAAAAGTCTATTTATTGTTCTTGAAAGCAAAATCATGCAAAATAACTTCTATTAAAGTGTAATGTAATTAATTTATCTAAAAAATGAGCATAAAATGTATATGAAAAAACAGTCATTTTTTAGGTGTATCAACGAGTATAATGGAGCTTATCTCCTTGGACAGCTGTGATGTTCCCATTACTAAATGTTGCACCGACGTGATAATAGCGGTCATGAGGTAGGTGAGTGTCTTTCCTTCCTAGATAATTGTGATGTTTACATCACTAGCCTTTGCACCAACATGACAATATTAACTAAGGATGTGGTAAGTTTTGTTGACGATGATCTTCGCAGAGACATATGTATCTGTAAAGAGTATATAGTAAGAGTAAATATAAAGTAAATGCATATAGATAACTTGAATATTTTCATTTTAAAAATGTCATTGATACATGCATTAACATATTATTATATGTTTTCTAAAAAAAAATATTAATATATTATAAGATATCTTATAGATATAAAAGACATCATATATATTGATTATTTTTTCTTAGATTACTGCAGTTTAGATATGTGATTATTTTCAGTGATCATTAAATAAATTTTTATGTTGTTATAGTAATATTATTAGATTTTAAGCATTTTAACAAGATGACTGGAAGATGAGGAAATGTGTATAGAAGGAAAGTATAGCAACCCGAAAGATACATATTTCTATTTTTTAATTTAATTGCTTCTATAGTGATTCTTTCATGAATTTTTTTAATATTAACATGATAGTGATAGAAATATGATAACAAAATAATTATTTTCATCATAAGACTGTCCATTCTCATCTTGGTCAATTTCAAGATCAAGGTCGGGTTGCGATAGTTGATGTGGTGCTGGTGTGTTAGTGCAATGTGTGATATTGGTGGTGTGTAGGTGTTATGTATATGAGAGTGGTGTTGTTGGTGTGTTGATATAAGTTGTGTCTCATTCTTCTTACTTGTTTGAGTTATGAAATTTTAAATATCATTGTATATTTTCATGGATAATCATATAGTATGTCCCACATATTTATGTTTTTATTATTTTTCTTTATAACAGTCATCATGAAAAAAAAAAAATTGGTTCATCAGCCATGTGGGATAAGAAGATGAAGTTGATATTTTGTGATCTTTATCTTAAAGAGGTAAAATTGGGAAATATGTCAAGCACGTACTTTAATATAATAAAAAAGTTTATGAAAACATGTTAAGGGAATGTGATATGATGTAATTAGAAAATAAGTGAGATTAGTTGAAAAATAACTGAAAAATATGGAAAGAGTTAATGCGATGATCCACAGGCTTGAGTTGGGATTGGTCAAGCAGACCATTGATGCGTCGGAGAAATTGTGGGTCGAGAGATTGGAGATGAGAACAAATGAAACGTCTAAACTTCACATTTTATTTTTCAATTACATCAACATACCATTCATCCATTAATTTGCAATTCGTGTCAAATAAAAATAAAAATAATTCAATGGAATTGCCTGAGCTTGAGGAGAAATTGCATCATATGTTTGGTGGAGTTGTAGTCCTGCGTGATAATGCATGAGCCTCGAGTGAGAGAGGGTTTGCTAGCATATATGACCATTCATACGTCGTGTAAACTGCTGACTCCAACGAAGGCCCTAACCCTAACCTCCATAAAGTTGAATTAAATAGTCGATCCAAGAGTCCTAGGGTAGAAAAAAAGATGACGTAATTTTCATCAGAAGACAAATTTTACAATTACTTGCTTCATGCACCAACGACTCTAACACCTCACGAGTTATTTCTATTCAACAAGTTATGCGATATCCGTAAGCAACTCTAGAAAATTACGACATGTTGTTTTACTCGTTAACTATGAAGTTGCTCGGAGATTCGACCCGGAGATAATTTTTTATGTCGATAACCGTTGATCGTTCGTGACAACCATGATGCATGATATATGTTTTTTATTTGTTGGATACTTTATGCTAGATATTTATGGGGACATTATATGTGCTACTTCTAATATGTTTGAGATTTACTTCTTATTGTTTTTATTGCTTTATATGTAATAATTTATGAATCTCGTTTTGGTGCAACTTTTATTTTCAGTTATTTAACATATTTTGTTCCCACATGGTAGGTACAATATTTCATGTATTTATTTATTGCATGTTATATTTTTGGCTTGAAAGTCTGTGATGAAATGTTTGACCTTAGAGTTGTTCTATAAGACCTATATGTTGTTATGAGTTCTCAAAACATATGAAATCACTATCAAGGCAACCAAGTACCACACCTTTTTCAATCGCATGCATGTTGGGGTTCTTCCAAATGGCTTTTGTGGTGATATGCCTCTGGGACACTTACGAGCTCGATATTACATAAATTAAAGGCAATCAATGTCCTATTTTCTTAGAGGTCTACTTTCGTCTGACAATAACAAATTATTCGGTTGTTTATATTTTTTGTACTAAGATCTCAAAAGTTTTTAAAAATTTAATGAGTTTTTATATATATATTTTTTGTTGATGTTGCATCTAAGGGTTTGTGAATTATGGTTTTAAACATTTCAAACAAATAAGTTCAACAACTTTTGGTGTCTCCAGAGCATTGTGTTGTTATTGTGAAATAGGATGCTTTAATAGGTCGCACATGCCCTAATAAACCTAAGGGTATGTTTGGGGTAGCAACAGTTGTTTGAAGAAGTAGTTGTGAACTGTTAAAGAAGAAATATCGTGAAAAAATTTGCGGTGATTATTACAATTTTTTTTAAATCAGTCCATAACTTTCTGTCAGCCACCGTAGGTAATCAAATAAGATAAAAAAATATAAATTTTAGCGACAACTTTTGAGAACACAGTTAAAACATAATTTTATTAATGCAACCTCAAATCCCAGTTGCAAAAGCACCCTAAGTGTGCGTTGGTTTTAGCTTTTTGACCCACATTCAGAAATCGAGTTCCGAAATTCTCGTGTTTAATAGCGCTTCCCATGACCACGCTTCAAACTAGCAACACAAATTTGATGAAGGGTCCAGACCGCAGCTGCCCCGCGTCTGGCATCCAACATTCACGGTTAATTCACTGTTTTACCCGCGTGAAATGCTTGGCTGCAAGGAAGCAAATAATTACTGGTATTTATATAAATTCCTAAGAATTTGGGAGTAAGAATTTGCACAAGTTATTTTATTATAACAGCAGACACATTTTTAAGTTTGGCCATTAGATAATTAAATGCATAAGAATTAAATTATAAGCATGCTAACACAATTTAAAAGAATCAAATCATTATAAAATAAAATTATAAAAATAAAAACAAATGCATGCTGAAAAATAATATAAACACACACTTAAAAATAAAATTTTAAAAAATACTTATATATCACATAATTCTTATAAATTTAATTATCTCACACCCAAACTTTAATTTTTACAAGCTAGACATCTTTTCCTTTATATGAAAAGATGAATTACACTATTCACATGGGTACGATGCTTTAGATGTAAAAATTAAGATCTCGGTGCGAGATAATTAAATGCACAAGATTTTGGTGCCATGTATATAAATTCCCTAAAATAAAATAAAACAATTAAAATAGATTTATTATATATATAATGATATATATATATATATTTTATATACATACAATCTAATTTCTATATATTTAAATTTATGAATTTAAAAAATTATTTCAGAAATTTTACTCAATGATAGCATTTTCAAGATCTCTTTTAAGACAAGCCATCGCTAGCTCAACTTTTCGGAAAATATTATATAAGACGCACGCAACGTTGTGTACGTCTAGAGGTTATTCAGGGGTACAAGAGTTATATTGGGGTTATATATCTAATCCCTGTAACCTCTTTGTAAACTACCTACACTTATGTAATTTCATAATAAAAATAAGTCAGACAGATGTTACAAAAGTTAAATTATAGATAAGGAGCCCTGCGCAAACGCAAATATTTTCACTGCCCTTCATCTTCTTCTCGCGGCAAAAACGCCGAAACTTTCCGTATGAT